AGCCTGGGACCATGGGGCTCCCCGGCCCCAAGGGCAGCAGTGTGAGTACATGTGTAACGTGCCTGTCATCCCCTGTAGTTCTCACCTGGCACAGGCATGCTTCGGACAAATTGATTGACATGCAAGTTTGTTCTTTAGGGTGATCCTGGCAAACCGGGGGAAGCAGGAAATGCTGGTGTCCCTGGACAGAGGGTAGCTATATACATTTTCTGCTAAAGAAAAAAAATAAAATTACGCAAATTCTCATGGCCCTCATCTCACAACTTCTCTCTGTGTGACGCTAGGGAGCTCCTGGGAAAGACGGCGAGGTCGGCCCTTCTGGGCCCGTGGGCCCCCCGGTATGTGATCTTTTGGCAAAAATGTGTTCATACTCCATTTTCCATTGTGTTTGTCCAAGGCTTTACTTATGATAACTTTGGGGGGAAATAAAGAAGAAGTGCAGATTGAAGAATTGCAGTTATATCTTTCCTTTTGATTCCTGTGCTGGAATCTTCTGCCTTTTAAAATGGCATGATTGGCTTCTTCATTTTAAATCTCTATAAAATGCTGATGGCAAAAGGCTAGCTCTTCATCTTTATGTATCACTGTTGGAAAATATGTCAACTAAGGAAAATAGAGCTTGATTAACGTTTAATACTGTATTTTACTTAAAAAATTAAAATACTGAATATTATCTATCTTATTCTAATAATGTGTCTTATAGATATTTATTTAAGCTGGTTTTTCTTTTGAGGGGCTAAAAAGGAATAATACTCTTTGAGGTATATTTTCATCCTAGCATTGTAACATGAAGTGTTTATCAGAAATATTTTGGCATTTTATTTGCTTAAAATACCAAATTAATTAAAATGCTAGCTTTGTTGACTAGTTTTGAAGGTTTGATTAATGGTTTTTATGACACTTAGAAATAAACTGCAATGAAAATATTACCATTTTAGATTAGATATATGAAAGTAATGAATTTTTCCATCTCCAATTCATCCAATTTCCCCATAATTTTATGGTTAGCTCCAGACATTTTGTTTGGATCAAAAAATAAACACATGTCATCAGTCTCTTTGCTGGCTTTGAAAGATATTTTCTCACTAGCAGGGACTTCAAACCAATAGATGACTTTTAATACTAGTTTAGTATCCGGCCAAAGTGCAGAACATGTGATTGGAAGAAATACAATAAATGGAAATACTTCTAGTGGTTCTCACGGGCAGGAAGCGGGGTGAGGGCTGGCTCGGGATTTTCACCATTTCCTTTCCCCTGTGCCTTAGGGCCTCGCTGGGGAGAGAGGCGAGCAGGGACCCCCTGGCCCCACCGGCTTTCAGGTACGCGCGGGTTCTGTGGTTCAGTCCCTCTCCACTGACTACATGCTCTTTTAAAATGTGAAAAGATACGAGAAAACGATGCGTAGCTCTACAGTTTTCCAGGTCATCCCTCTCTTAGTAAATAGGATAGACATTTGAATAAAATCAAACATTTTTTTAAAGAGAAAGAATAGACTTCCCCTGAAAAACTGATTAAAACCCAAAGCTATTAACAAATGAAAAACCAAAAAATATTCTTCATATCGCAGTGACATTTATTTAACTGTTTTAAGGCTTATCTGATTTTATTGGCACAGTATCTAAAAGATTTTGTTGAACAAATTTTCATAATTTATCTAAATATATTGGTATGTAGATTATTTAGCAGCACGAATAAGAATAATTTGGGGAAAAGAAACTTTCAGTAGTATTCTAGTAACCTAGTACTGTGGTCGGCAGATCGCGACAAACACCACGTGCGGGCGCACGTACAGTGCGAGTGAAGCTTTGTGGCCCATGCACAGAAGTCGGTATTTTGTGGACGAGCCACACTCAAGGGGCCAAAGAGCCGCATGTGGCTTGCGAGCTGCGGTTTGCCGAGCCGCAGTTTGCCGACCACTGACCTAGTATATTGTTTTCAGAGCCTTTATAAAAACCTGTAGATCTAAAGAGCCTCCTGTTACATTGTTCTTTTGTTTGCTAAGTGATATGCAAATGAAGGCCTAACCAATCAGCTAGCTTCTGTGGTTAGTTATGAGATGGAGGTCTCTCGTCTGTGTTTGCATAACTTGTGTTGCACAGTACCTTTTGCTTGAAAAATAGAGTCCCGGAGGCTCTCTGAGCTGTAGGAGGTCAGCTGCTGACACTGGTGGCCTGGTCAGCTTCACAGTCACACTTCCATTGTTGCTTTGGTTTTAGGGGCTTCCAGGCCCCCCAGGGCCCCCCGGGGAAGGCGGAAAGCCAGGAGATCAGGTAAGTGTTTGAATACGACGAACAGCAAATACTAGAAACCACTGCTTCTTAATATCACTTATCATGTGTGAGGCTCCATTCTGGTGTGATTTACATATATTATCTTTTTATAATATCTTTTTATTGATTTCAGAGAGGAAGGGAGAGGGAGAGAGATAGAAACATCAGTGATGAGAGAGAACCATTGATCAGCTGCCTCCTGCACACCCCGCACTGAGGATCCAGCCGCAACCCAGGCATGTGCCCTGAGGGGGAATCAAACCCCGACCTCCTGGTTCAGAGGTGGACGCTCAACCACTGGGCCACACCGGCTGGGCCATATGTTATCTTTTTTAACCTCAAACCACCCTCGCTACTATTACTCCCCTAGTTACGGAGAGGAAAGGTGGCACACAGATGTTGGGTCGCACAGCTGATGGGCTTTGAGCCCAGGTCACATGCTTCCCAGACTGTGTTCTTAATCCCTGAGTGAGTCTGAGTCATGTGATGGAGTTTTCCTGGAGGCTTTACCAGCTGTTATGAACAGATACTACTTTATCTCTATCATTTTATGAGCACATGGGTTATTTCGTTTATTTTTCTCTGAGGAATTCATTCATTCCACCATTCAACAAGTATTTGCTGAGTGCTGCGCCCATGCTCAGCTGTGCTAAGCCTTGCTTGGCCTTAACCAATTGAACAAGGTGGACATGGACCTTGCCCGTATCCTGTATTACAGTGGGGGACAGAGCACAGGGAGACAGTGACAGTGACTCTAACTGCTATCAGGGGGGAGGGACTGTGTCTCTGGAAACACAGAAGATGCCATTGATTCAGGCTGGAGGTTTAGGAAGAGTTTCCTGGACGAGGTCATGACTTCCATGAGATCTGAAGGATGAAGGGTGGTAAGCGGAGGAGGGAAGGTGAAGAAGTGCGCTAGGACATGGAACAGGAAGGACAACGTTTTGCAGGTCAAGTTAAGGCCGTGAGCACAGTTCTGTGGGTCAGGAGTGCAGAGTGCAACTCAGATGGAGGGAGGCTGGAGGCGTGAATTGGGGCCAGATTATGGAGGGTCTTAATTTGAGTCCTATTTGTTCTTCCTCTTGGAATAATGGGCAGCCGATGAAGGGTTTTTAAGTAGGGGTACTACTGTTTGATTGAGTTTTAGGAAGATCACACCTTAGTGAAGACAGTAATTTCAAGGGATAAGACCAGAGGCCTACTTTATACAGAGATCATCTTTATCAAAGAAAGAAACAAACTTTAATGGAGTCATGACTGCCCTAGTCTGAACCCACAATTCCTAGTAGAGTGTGTTGCCCACATTATATGTTCAAGAAGTATTTACTGAGTTAGTGGAATTGGTTTTATTCAACAGACCAGTACTCTACTGCTTTTAATTTCACTTCCCTCTCTTAAAACTTTTCCACATTGCATTAGGAAATAAAAGGCTTTTAGTATATATATTACTGTATCTCTAAAAAAAATGAATGCACTTTGGAAGATAACATTTTGTATGTTCTCACTGCCAAAAATCAAATATTCAGTTACAATATCAATTTTTCTGGAAAAATATTTCAATCCAATTTATGTGATGACCACTCCATTTATAAAAGTGGACACGTCTTTCTTTCTTCAATATTTTTGGGCTTAGTGCATTAAAAAAATTGGGTGTATGACCTGGAAAGATTTCTAAGAAATAAATGCAATTTAGCTCAAAGATTTCCTTCCCACCTTTTAAACTGTATTTTACAGGGAGTTCCTGGTGATCCGGGGGCCGTGGGCCCACTGGGACCTCGAGTGAGTATTCTCTCCTTTGCATCCGCCTGCTGCCATTGGCTTCCCTTTAAAAAGCACCTTTTCTGAGTGTCTTCAATGGGGCTTTGCTGTGGTATTAAATTCTTCTTGTTGAAAATCAGTCCCGTGAGGAATATTCTGTGCTGGGAAACTACCCTACCCTGCCTTCACGTCTATTTCTTGTCACTAAATCGGGAAACCGAGCCTCAGTAGTTGCTCATTTCTGAACCTTTCCCCGGGAGGACCTGTTGCATGTTTTCAGGAATGTTCCTAACCCCTTTAGACCAAGCCCTGAGGCTGACATTCCGCTGTTGTGCTAGGGAGAGCGAGGAAACCCGGGGGAGCGAGGAGAACCGGGAATCACCGGGCTGCCCGGCGAGAAGGGGATGGCCGGCGGGCACGGCCCCGATGGCCCGAAGGTGAGTACGAGCCAGCATGTGCTCCTCGCGTTCTCCAGGGTATTTGGTTACTTAGTTTTCTTCCTCAGCAAATGCTTATGGGCAGCTATGGGCTTGCGCTTGGCGCTAAGCGTCGGCTAAGAAGGAGCCCACTGTTGTGATGGGGTTTATGCTCCACTTTCCTTGTCCTGAGTTCCATGATCCTGCTGACAAAATACACGGAAGGACATTGTCTTTGCATCTAACATGCAACACGGCAGAAGGCAAGAATCGGTGCCATTTCGTTCTGGCACCATTTTAACGTTGACAGCAGACAATGGCACCAGTTTCAGTGTAAACATCTGGAGCCGAATTTTTCATGATTATGCAAATCTTACGATCCAAAGTGATTGCATAAGATTTGCTTCAATTTAATCACTGAATGAGCCTCAAAACCAGCTTAATATCATGGGTTTATTACAGAGAAAGTGAAATACTCTCTAAATGTAATATCTCCTTTCTTTATTAGAATCTCATCATGATGTTACCAAAATAAGAAAAAAAGGAAGCTCTATCATTTTTATTTGAATCAGTACTTAATTTCCCGAAAGAGAAAAGTTGAAAACATAAACTGGTTATGAAAATGGCAGGTCTGATGGTTGTTTTTTTAATGAACTCAGAGGCCATTTTCCAAATGAAACATATAAGCACTGGGTTAGACCCTGTGAAGTCTCTGAGAATCTACTGTTTTGACCACCAACACGGTATTCCATGTGGTTCAGTTTGGATATTGAGGTGCCCCCCTTCCTGTTGGTTGGTTTCAGGGCAGCCCCGGACCAGCTGGCGCCCCCGGGGACACGGGCCCGCCGGGCCTCCAAGGCATGCCCGGGGAGCGAGGGCCGGCCGGCACGCCTGGCCCCAAGGGCGACAGGGTGAGTCTCCTTCTTCTCTCTGAGTTCGTTCCGTTCGATTTTCTGCCGACAGTCATGTCCTGGGCAGACTTTTAATCACAAGCCGTCCTGAGTCACAGCCGTTCACTCATTCATTCATGTTTTAATGTCTATCTATTGAGAGAATGTGCAGTGCCCGGCACTGTTCTGAGCTCCAGGAGATACGGCTCCAAGCGTAAGACATGACTCTTCACTCGTGAGCCCCCCATGCAAGTGTGGGAAGGAGACAACCACACGGACGCAGGCTGTTCTGTGTTTCCCCAGGGCGGCCTAGGAGAGAAAGGCGCTGAAGGCACAGCTGGGAACGATGGAGCAAGAGTAAGTGAAACCATTCGTCCCCCCCCAGCCCTGGAGTAACATTATCATCATCATGGGACGTTGCCTGGACTTTCCGAAATAACGTGTGTAGCGCTTCCATGGCAGTCGGACTCGCTTCCATGGCGGTCGGACTCGCTTCCATGGCGGTCAGACTCGCTTCCATGGCGGTCGGACTCGCTTCCATGGCAGTCGGACTCGCTTCCATGGCGGTCGGACTCGGAGAATGAGGAAACCTGAGATTAGACGTTGATCAACCGTGGACACTCGTTCTGCTTACCTGGACTTAGGGCAGCCAGAAAGGAAAGTCACTATGGAGAGACGTGAGCGGTCACTGCTGTCCGCAGCGGGGCCTCTCATCCTTCTTCACAGGCCTGTTCATTCTATAAAGTAGCTGATCTCATGAGCTGGTCTAGACCTCCTTCCAGGCGAGGCAGGTAGAGTTTTGTAGAGCAAAGTTGTGATTAATGTTTCTCAGTACATTGGAGGTCGGGGTGAGAAAACAACAGGGCGATGAATCAGCATTAATAAAGGGGGAAAATGAAGAATACATTTTCTCTCTATGAAAAAGTGTGTAAATTTATATTTTATTTCATCAAATCCTTTAAGGAAGTGTATTAGGTAAATTATTGGAAGAACGTTGTTCCACTGTAGATCCAGAGAATTTAATATAGTTTACTTGTGTTCTTGTTAATAATATAAAATTGAAAAGTCATGTTTGTTCCTTAAGCTTCTTCAGTAGTGCGTACAGAAATTAAATTACAAGCGAATATCTGGCTGCACAGGAAGAGGCAGCACACGGGTACCGGAGGGAAAACGTGGTTCGGGAAGAGCTGCCGCCGAGGGGAGGAGGGGGAGTCTGTGGCCACGTGTGGAGGAGACCCCGCTTGTATCCTGCGGCAGCTCCCCGGGCTCTGAGCAAGAGCACCCCCTCTTCTCAGTGTCGCTGGGCTGTGCTGCTTCCTTACATGCAGGGGGATGCAGAAAACCAAATGCATTAGCACACTTCACTTTTTTGAAATAAAAGAGTGACATTTTGCTGGCGTATTAGAATGCAAGAATATGGCATTTTGTACAAATGAAGACACGTCTCTTCAGTCTAGACTCAAATTTCAAGTAGGATCAGCAACGTTAATAGGCGAGAGACAGAGGCGCTGGTGGAGAACAGCACGGAGCCAGACTGCTGTCTGAAGGCAGGGCCACGTCTGGGTGAGCTGATGAGATGAAAGAGATGAAGACATTCTGTGGAGATTGTTCTCGACCAGATAGAAACATGTTGAGAGCATGTAGATGGCGTTATTTATTCTGGGTCATGCTCTGCGAAAGCAGCCGCATGACACCAGCACAGCCCTTCTCTGTGTGTGTGAACGTGGAGACTTTGTGCCTTCTCTCCCTCAGTGTCCTGTTCCTCTGTTCCCTGCAGGGTCTGCCAGGCCCCCTGGGCCCCCCGGGTCCTGCAGGTCCCACTGGAGAAAAGGTAATG